ACTCTGTTGTATTTGATAGTATCATTCAGTTGGAGGAACTTTGTCAGATGGAGATTGGGGTCATCGTTGGGCATGCCTCCAAATTATATGGAGTTTTGGACCATGGTTATGAGTGTTGGTTTCAATTCAAAATTGTCGGCCTCTACATTAGGGGCTGCGATGCTTCCAGGAGTGCCTTTAGCAATGAGTGTCATGTAATCTTGAATTGATTTTCTTCCCTCTACCATTTTCTGCTCTCTCACTTTTTTTTCTTTGTCTATGCGTTGTTCTCTCGATCTCTGGATCAAATAAACAAGTTGTAGAGCATTTAGAACGAGTGAGCATACATTAAAAAGAATTATAATAAAAAGTATTAAATTAAAATAAAAGCAAAAGTAAATAAAATAAATACCGAAGAAAAATTTTGAAAATAAACAAAACAAATTAAAATAAATCAAAACAAGAATTGCTCAAATAAATTAAATTTGATATTTTCTTAATATTAAAAAAGTAATCCCTGGCAACTGTGCCAAAAACTTATTTGGTGGGCAAGTATACCGGTCGAGAAGTGATCAAGAGTTCTTCAATATCGTTCTTGAATTATCGTTCTACAAGGATTGTTTTCTAATTACTAAGAATTTTCTAATTCAATTGTTTGAGTGTCAAAGATATGAGATTAAAATAAAAATTTATAAAATTAATTATAAAACTAAGAACTCAGAATACAATGTACATCTTGATTAAACTTATCAGAGAGGAATCTAGGGCATATGGGTTTCTCATGCAATCCTTTACGTTATTTTTTTTATTTAATTCTAAATTCAATTTTCTTGTTATTATCAATCATTCATACAATAGTAATACCCACTGGGCATGCAATATTAATATTCTTTTATCTAAACTAACATCCCCTATGGTCATGAAAGATATTAATCTAAGAAAGCATAAAATACGTATGAGCTTGTTAATTTAATAACGATTGGAAAAGAAAAATTAGTTTGGTCTACCTAATCTTTTGTCTCGTTTTATCTTATAGATCAATTAACTAATCTACGTACGGTCACCTGATGATATAATTAATTAGGATTATACAATTATGCGCAATAGGATAAACACTAATCACATACATAAATTCATGAACATTATTTCCTATACCTCTAGCTATGAACTTAGTTACTCATGTTAAAGAAAAAAATGAAAACAATCATAAACAAAGTCATAAAGAAAAGCAAACTAGAATGAGATGAGTTTTCGGCCTTCAAGTACGATTACTCGAAGCTCCAAGTCCTGCCAAAAGTATGTCAAAGATCATATGTAAGAGAAACGAGATAAGAGGTATATCAAAGAGCATAAGATAAGATGTCCTAACTTGGTGTCATAGTATCTCTTTAACAGGGTTTGAAAACCCAAAGTTCTTTCTTAATTGGGTTTGCCGCAAATGAGCACAACTGTGCAAGGCTGTAAGCACAGTTGTGCATGGGCTCAAAGCAATCTCATGCTTGTTGAAAGGGTATGGACGTGCTGATTATTGCGAAGCTCTTATTTTTTATTAGTTTGGACCCAAAACGCACTCAAAATCTACTTGTGACCTCTTTATAATAAATAGCACAATTAATATATAAATCAATGTAAAATCCAATTAAAATAAATGTCAAACATAAATATATGGGTTGTAAAAGAGAGACTAATTATAGACTTATCAATCATCCAGGTAAAGTCAAACAAACAAAATATCACAATTATCAAAAGTTTTAACATAAAGAGCATACTCATGTAAATAATAAAGAAATCAATTATCTTGAAAGTATTTATCAATGTCACTATTCCATACCTCACTGTTTGTTTTACTACAGACAATGTTTTCTTCAACTTCAAGATCTTTTCTTCTTGTTACTTGACTACAAAGCTAATAAGTGCAAGTTTTTATAAATTGCAACACAAATTAGGACACTTATTTATGTCTAAGACTTTCATGCGTCAAAATCAATTATCATAATTTATTTTAGTTAGACATGGAAATTGAAACAAATTTAAGCTATTATTTATCATCTCTTAAAGTGTTTCTCTCAACTCTCAAGATCGAAACGAATTTTGATATCACTTTGTTAGGAGTAGAAAGAGAACAATTAAAATAATAGAAAGATTTTATTATTTTATCAAATCAAATACATGAGTATAATTTACTATTTATAATAGTAATATAATGACATTTAATTTATATCAAATAATTGCTCCATGATTACAAACTAAAAAGTCATTGCTATTAACTAAGGAATTATAATTTTTCCCTCAGAGTGATACATATTTACTTGTACCTTTTTATTTTTATAACTTATGCGACACTTTATTTATTTAAATATTATTTCTAACAATCAATTGGTTTGTGTTTTGCTCTTGTCATCCAACATATTTACCTTACACTTGAACCCAAAGTTTGTTGTGTTTTGACAACTCCTAAACAGAGCTTCATTAATAATGCTTCATTAAATTAATTTAAATTCTTGAAACCTAATCTTCCGTGCGATTTAGGAAGACAAAAATATTTCTAGCGTATAGTATGAACTCTTTTTTTCTCCTTTGTGCTTCCCAGATGAAGTCGTTGAATTTTTTCCATTTCATTGCAAATGGCAGTGGTATACATGAATGTTCCATGGTGTAATTATCCAGAAAATTCAATATTGTGAAAATTATCATGATTTCTTCTTCCTTCTCTTTCTTGATCATGACCACGTCTTCTTCCAGGTCCACTTCCACTCTCATAGTCAATGAAAGGCAACTACCCTTCCAACCAGCTAGCTTGTCTTGCATTTTCTAAATCATATGCTCGAATAAAACATTTTTTCCCCGCCCTCCATGATATATAGAACCCAAATATTTTTCCCAGATTAGTAGCGTTGACAAATCTTGACTTGAAAAAGACATCCTTTTTAACATACTCTCTTCACATGTTTTTTAGAAGAATATGCTTGTTTTTTGCTCTTTTAATTCTTGCTTGACGAAATTTATTCAGGTAGTGCAGAACATTTGTTAGCTCGGAAGAAAAGACAAATCTAGTTTACGTTACTAACAACATCAATTATACAGCGAGAGAACTTGTCCATGTAAATAGGAAAAAAATAGGGAAAGATGAGATCACCATGTAATATGTATAATTCCACGTGAGGGGTGGAAATGATATGTTTTATCCCCCTGTTCCATTATGTTAAACATGTAAGAGTACGTTTGAGAGGGAAGGACATAATTTTTAATCTTAAAATAATCATATATTACTTATGATAATAAATGTATAATTAATATATTAAATTTATTTTAATATATTAATTTATATTTTTTATTTTGAATAAATATTTATTTAAAATATAAAATTTGTTTTCTCCTCTCCTACTCTCTAAAATTCTTATTCTCAAAAACCAAAAAAATTCTCATTCTCAAGCAACTTCTAAGGAAAGCGCTAAGTTTTTTTTTTTTTTAAAATAATAATACACTTAATTTTTCAATTTTTAATGCATTTTAACATAACACGACCAAACATAAATTCATTAATCCTATCAATAATATGATTTATTGATGAGTGATCATCATATGTCATTTATCTTATACATAGAGTTTGTCAAAATTACTTTAATGCTAATTTATGAGTCATTTATTATATTTTATATTCAACGAATTTATTTTACTTGAAACTGTCGAATACTTCACAACTCTCGTGTTAATATTTATTTATTATCATGTTAATTATTTAGATAGTTATGGTCAATACTATCTTTTTTTTTTTAGAAGCTGACAATTCCTTAAATGACCTTATGAAGAGTTTTAAAATCTAATTTCCTTATTAACACATTACACAACCAATTTTGTTCATGTTTGTTTTACTTTAAACTTAAAAAAATAATTTTCTTTTTCAAAAGCTCTCTAAAATATGACCCCAAAAAACAACATTATTTATTCAACGTAAGCTCCCCCAAACTGAATTCCCTCCTCTTTTCTCATTTGTCTGTTACAGGCAATTTTTGTTTATGTTACAATTGAATATTCCCCATTCTGTTTTTCTGGATTCGGATTCCCTACAGGAACTACAGCATGTAGTTAAGCCATTTTTATACATTTTTGCTTAAATGATAAATTTTTGCTTCAGCGAAATGCAGGGTGCAATTGGCCCAAAAAAATAAGAGAATCTGGATCCTTGTTCTCCTTACCCTATATGTGCTAAGAATTGTCGTAGACCTGAATTCCAATAAGGCAAGCAAGTGGATCTCACAAAATTTTGGTAAGATGCTACAAAATCTGTTTAACACATAAAATAATGATGAAATTCAAGAAGCAACCACAGCGAGAGTGATATTGAACCCGATTCTTAAGCTTTTAAGTGGAGTACCAACTATGACCATACTACCTGTTTTATCATAGAAAGCATGCTGGCATACAGTACTACTTCACTATTACTCATTCATGTAGTTGCAAATTTATCCATTAATCCTTCCCAAAGTCCACAACAAACTTGCTGCAATGCTGTTGAATGTACAAGAAACTAACAAATGTATCAACTGAAAACCTTGATAAGCTGCTACAGTTTGAGGCTTATGTAGGCACTAAATTTCTTGTCAAATTTGGTTGAGATAGATACATAACAAACAGAACCTTCATGTTTAAAAATGATTAAAAAAAGACAGGTTCCTTTTCAAGTGTAAAACTACATGTTTATCCTTTTGGCTAGCTGTGCACACATGCCCTTGTGTGTGAGAGAGAGAGGGTGGCAATGCATCATCAGTCAGTATTTAGAAAACAACTGCCAGAGAATGATACACATGATGAAAAGAAAAAATATGGAAGAGCTAGAATTATTAACTTAGATGAAAACCAATATACATATATATATATATATATATATATATATATATATATATATATATATATATATATATATATATATATAACAGAGTTCATGTCCTTTAAACCATCAAATCGAGCTGCTGCACATGCAGAATCTAACATAAAAGGCACACATCCACAAACTATTGTAGCTACTCAAATGAAAGTTTGCATGTTGCGGAGCTTCTTGGGAGCACGGATAATTTCATTAACATTTGGAGCTTCTCAGTCATATCTACCTCAAAGGTACTCTGAATTGTCATGGTGCGCAATACTTTTGAATTCTGCAAGATATACTTTGCAAATTGAAGCTCACATTTAATGCCTTTATAATTTCTAAGACAGCATGTTTTAAGCAGTGACGAAATGCATTCTGGAACAAAATGTGGGTCCTCCCAATCCTCGTCACAAATTGCATCTTTATACTTCAAAACCTGTCAACAAAACACAAATTTACAAATAAATGCATAAAATATGCAGAAGCAAAGCTAATAAAAAAATAGCTTTAAAATACACATTTTATCTCTACAGTTAAAACTCATCTTTAGTGCAGGGACTAATGCATAATCAAATGAATCGTTTGTATAAGGACTAAAATATTGGTATTTTGGATACAAGGATTAATTTATAAATGAACGTTAACTGAAGGGAGTAAATATATATTTTAACCTCAACACAGTATAAATAGAACTTCAATTTCTGAGATTTTAAATACTCTTCGTGAATGACACTTCGAAAAACGACATTCTTTATATAAGAATGTGGAAAAAAAAACACTAAAATAAATCTAAAGTTTAGGGACGGAAACGTCCAATCAACATCAGCAAACCTTTTGAATGGTAAGATGATGAAGCTTGGGGCAATGGTTGAGCGCTTCTAGCAACCAATTCCAGCGCCACTTAGTGAACTCAAAGATAAGCTCCATGTGGGTTAGATTGTGAAACTCGGGAACATCACTGAAATAGGTACACTTCTGCACAAGTTACAAACACAAAAACACCGGAAATCAAACCCATTTTTTTTAGAGTTTTGTTAATTTTTTTCCCATTTAAAAGTAGTAAATTTTTGTTAAAAAAAATTGTAAACATAAAAATACAATAATATCTTCTCAATAAAATATTATTATTAGTTGCTCAAATTCCTCTAATGAAGGTAAAACAGCATAACATGGATTCATACCATACCAGTTCAGCGCGCAGAAAATCCACGTTATGAAGAAGAGAAAAGGGAATATCCAAATTAGAAATTTCAGCTCTCCGCAATTTGGGCAAGCTCGTAACCTCCCCGTGGCCACGGTGTCCACGAATTCCCAACAGATATTTGGTTCTTAAATCCTGGAGAATGGGACACCCAGCAATAAACTTCATAACATCTTCGTGAAGCCTAAAACTGACCCAAACCAAATGAAGCGTTTCGAGGGAGGGAAAGTCAACATAGGGAAGATCGTCGATGGCAACCTTTTTGAGCTTAAGAACGGTGAGGGTCCTGCAAGTTAGAACGCAGGAGGGCAACTTGATTCGAACGTAGCGCTGTAAGTTGTCTTTCATGTTGAGGTGGAGATGGCGGAGGCCGCGCTGAACGGCGGCGTAGACGAAGCGATTGATGGCGTACGGGTCGCACGGGGAGGAGTTGCCGCACGTGAGGCGGAAGGAGCGGAGAGGGAGAGTGATGTCGCGGGAGAGGAAGAGGGAATAGACGAAGAGGCTGAAGCGCTCGAAGGTGGCGAAGGCTTTGTCGTCGAGGTCTAGGGTTGGGAGAGAGAACCACAGTGGTCTCCATCTCTTCGAGAGAACACTAGTTGCAACGGCTTGTTTGGTTGGGAGAAAAGAGAGGATTTTGTAGAGAATGAAGTCCGGTAACGCGCTTACTCTGTCCACCGCTGGATTTCGCCGCCGATTGAACATCTCCGCCCATCAACGACCTTTTTTTTACTCCATGGTATTTCGAAATAATTAATTTAAAATATTTTAGGTTGTGGATACCTTTGTATTTCTTTACTCCATGGTACTTCGAAATATGAACTTAAAATATTTTAGAGTTGTGGAAGTGAGTTTGACTCAGACCGACTCGTTTAAGATTTAGGTGTTAGAATTTCAACCCATCAAAATTAGTCGATTAATTTATTGTGTTTTAACTTACTAAAATGCATGTTAATAACGGGTTGAGAAAAACTTGCTTATGAACCCTTCTTTATTTTTAAAAATTAAAAAATAAACTATTTATTAATTAAATATTAATTTTAATTAATATAAAAATATTTTTAAATATATTATTTATTATAATTTTTTATTTGTTTGTTAATTTTTATTGAACTAACCCATTAATTTAATGATTTATTAATTTTTTTTTAGTTTTTAGCAGGCTGAAACGTTAGTTAACTCACTTTTAAATGACATCTAATTTATTGTATTTTAACTTATTAAAATACAAGTTAATGATGGGTTGAGAAAAATTAGCTCATGAACCTTTTTTTATTTTTTAAAATTAAAAAAATAATTATTAACTAAATATTTTTTATTAATATAAAAATATTTTTAAATGTATTTTTTATAATTTTTTATAATTTATTATTTTTGTTAGTTTTTAGTGGATTAATTCATTTAACGTTTCACTAGTTTTTTTTTTTTTTCCTATTAGCAAGTTAACCCATATTTAAATGGCATGGACTAAAAATTTTAACTCATTCTAAATGAGGTGGACTTAAGCTAGTCCATACTTTTAAAATGCTTAAATGTAACATCTTGTACTTTGATTTAAATAAAATGAGGTTTATTAAAGTATAATTAGAATAGATTTGAATAGAATTTTTATATATATAAAAAAATGTGAACAATAAAACTGCTTATGAACAGTGTTGATGAACAGTAAAACTGCCTATAAACAGTAAAACTTCGTATGAACAGTGAAACCGCCTACGGACAGTGACTGATGACGTCATCAATAATATCATCATAATGTCATGGCTGACGTCACATACGCATACAGTACATATGCACAGTGTTTCCGGCGGTGAACAGTAAATTTCAAAAATTTTATATAAAAAGGGGGTTTCATACGAATTTTTTATTTCTATACTCCTATCCAAGATTCTCAAAGGTTCTGAGGCTATATCTCACCATTTTCTCTCATACTAAACCCTCATAAACTTATATTTTTCTTTAAATCTATGATTCTATGTCCGTTCTAAAGGATTTCAAGTAAGTTTCTTTAAGTTTGAAGTTAAATTTACGGTTCGTTTCTCTTCTTCTTTTTCTTATAGATGTTCATGATGTTCTTAGGAAAAACTCCGTTCTAAAGTTAAAATTTTCGGTTAAATTTTTGTAAAAGCTCTGTTTTGAGGTAAGGGAGACTCTATTTTATCAATTTGTTATGTTTATTACTTGTATTCTCATAAATCTTGTCATGTATGTGATTATATGTGGAATAATCCTTGTTTTATGAAAAATAATCAGTAAAAAGTGAAAATAATTGGTTGTTTATGTGATTTTATGATGAATACATGGTGAAAGTGTGATATTATGTTCAAATAAGGCATAATAAGGTATAATGAGGATGGTTGATATGATTTTATGATTTTGTGATATGAAATATACAAAGAGATGAATGTTTTATGTTTAAATATATTGTGTTTCATGTAAAAATTATGTGTATTGTGAATATGCCATGATTTGATCTATATGAAGAAAAGTATATGGAAATATAATTAAAAAATATGTGTGAACATGAGAAATGACATATGTGAACATGTGAATATACTTGAAAGAGTATGAGATGAAAAAAGATATGATGTAAATAGTTATAGAGATACACTAGGAGAGTGGAAGATGGAAACAATATGAGATATCTTGGAGAAATACAGGGTGGTGAGTGACATTCGAGATTGTGCACGGAATATTGTGTACGAATGCACTACATGACCGCACACTCGTTTTCTGACTTGACTCTTGACCATTACCTTTGCTAAGGGACTGTCTATTGCATGTGTTGTATCTGTATTGCATTGGGCCATCCGACGACTATTTACATGAATGTGTAAGACCTCGGGATAGAGGCATTGGATAAATGTGGCCACAGGGCACGTAAGCGCGCATAAAAGTAAAAGAAATTGTGAATCTGTGAAATATAATATGTGTTGAGATGAGAACATGTTTTATATGACACTATGATATGTAATGCCATGATGTTTTCTTTAATCGTGATAAGATGTGTTTTATGGTGAATATGTGTTATGTATGAGTGGCAGGGTAGAGACTCACCCTTACACAACATTTTCAGGAAACCAAGACGAATAGTATCAGACTCACAGTGCATGGATGGATGAGAACTGCTATAGGACTTAATTATTTTGAGTAATGTAATGAATATTTTCAGTTCTATAGCATTCTTTTAAAACAGTTGTAAAACTACTATTTCTTTTTGTTGCTGATGAAAATTCTAGAATCTTTATTTTTCTAAAATACTTATGAATTAATGAAATTTTATTCTATGAACCTTATATCATTTTAATGTCTCTTTCTTATTAGAGAGTTTTTGAAAGAAAATTTACTTTACCATTTAAATTTTTATGAAAATTTATCATATATTGAGGAAAAAAATATAAGATGTTACACTAAACGGGTAGGTTCGCCTGTTTTGTCACCCTTAAAAATTTTATATGATAAATTATTACATTATTTATTTACAAATAAAATTACTATGCATGATGAGAAAGATAAGTTCTAAATTAGTTGGTGACAAAGTAATAAACAAATGGGTTTGGATTCTCTATGCAAGAATTGAACATTTAGTTCTTCTTTCACTCAGTGAAAATTGGTCCACTTAAGTAAAATTAAAATAACTTAAGTGAATCATATGCACTTAAGCAAATTTTGGTTCACTTAAGTGAATAATGTAGAAATTAAAAGAAAAAAAAAACACAGCATAATTACATCATCTAACATAAGTAAATACAAGTAATAGATTATAAACATATTACAAAAAAAAATTATATTTACGATGTTTACATGATTATAATGAATATTGAGTAAAAAGTAAACAAGGTACAAAATTCATTAAGGTTTATCAAGGATAGAATGGATTGTGTCATCTAAAGGTTCCTACAAAAAGAAAGTTAATTAGCATAAAATATTATACAATAAATTAAGAAAATATAACTTTGTAATTTTATGTCTAAATTAATTGTTAAAAGTGTTAGGGGAATCATCATTGTGACTCTTACTATTTTATTCTTTTAATCGAAATTGTGTGATTTGACGAGACACTGAGTTTACACATTCATTGACCAAGTGAGAGTATTTTCGTGAACTAGATACCTCGTATGTGAGTCAAACTATTTTAGAAACTAATTGTTGGTATCATTGTATGCTAGCAAGTTTAGGATCTCATCAACCTTTATTCATTTGACATGTGTATAATTTCATAACAATCTTCTCGTATTCATCTCTTAATTATGTGTTTTATAAGCACAACCTTAACATCATTTGCTTAAAAAAACCATCGATGTATGTGAATAAAGTATATCAAAATATTTCAAATTTTGTACAACTGTAACATAAATTTTGAGGCATGATCAAATAATACTCTTGATGATTTGACTTTGTCAACAATTGTAATGACATAGTCAAACAAATAGGAAGATTTGTTCCTTTTTAATATGCAACAAGAAAAAAATGAAGTAAACTCTTGTTATAATTGGTTAAAAATAGTATGTGTGTAATTTTGCATATTTGTATTAGCAACATGTGTAATTTTGTACATTCACTCCTTCATTAGCTAGTTTACTTGTTGTACAAGAAATAAAATTAAATAATTACAAAAAAAAAAAAACTCTATCCAAATCTACAAAATAAATTAGTCATCTTCTTTTAAGCTTTTCTTCATTAGGCAATTTTTTAATATAATTTGATGAGGAAAACTGTCTAAAGTATTTATTCTTTGGAAAATCTATACCAGTAACTTTAATAGGGCCTTTTTTTACTAGTAAGTTTCTCAATTTTATACCAATATTCATTTATTGACTTGGATCATATATAATTTTTGGAGTAAAACTATCTAGTCTTTCAATTTCTTCTCCGTTATAATGAGTTTGAGAATTAGAATTATCATTTTCACTGACTACTTCTCTATTGTTATTTTTACCTATATCTATATTGTTATCTTATTCATTCAAAGAGCATTCTCATGTATTTTCTAAATCGTTTTTAATGTTTACTTTTATAAATTTATCCATAACTCTTTTTTGTGATTCAATTAAAGCCTTAACTCTTATATTTTCCTTAAAGTTTTTAATGACCTTATTCATATTTTCTAGTTGACATATTTATATATTTTTATATAAAATTAAAAATTATGATATATAAAAATAAATTGCTGAAGTTAAGTATATAATAAAACTAAGTTGAAATAGTAAAACTTAATTGTCAAGAAAATGAACTTGATCGTAGGATCTTATCTTGAAATATCTTTTTGTTTGCATAAATTATTTTGAGATTTATAAAGTAATAAAATAAAAAAACTTATTTTGAGACCAATCTCCCAATTGAGGAATATAATAACAAAATGCAACGATAAACGACAATTTTCTAATTTTCAGCTTTAATAAACATACTCAAAAGGAACAAATCAAATGCATGCACCGACAATAAATTAGCTCCCTCTATCACTCCAAATATAAACAAATAATGACACATTGATAAGAGATGAGAAAAAACAATTGAATATTGGCTAATAACAATCAAATTGAATGTCAAATTGAAACAAGATTCAAGAATCAAAAGAGTAGACAATAATCAGAGAAAAAAAGAAGATAGATACAAGAACTAAATAAGAGATAAAAAAAAATGTTCGATTTCTTTTGCTATTTAGCTACTATTATTTTAGTACCAATAAAAAGTTAACAACTTAG